TGTGATTTGAGAATGTTTGCATATTTCATCATTGTTCTTATTTTTTGCTGAACTGTTGACCCACATCCTAAACTTACTGTTCTGAGTCAAGGCTGATATGGCTCACCTAAAAAGATGACAATGCAAATATGTAACCCTCATTTTCATGCATTCATTAGAGTGTATTCTTTGCTGGCTTTTAACAATATGGCAGACACATTTTAAAAAATACATTTTTTACTGAATCCACTGTTTATTTACAAACAAGAAATAAGCTTTCCTGATCACTCTATTAAAATACGTAAACCAATATTTCAATGTGATTAAGACATACTGATCTGTTAAATTATGGCATAAGAAAGTTTTGTAAGCTCAGTGTGTATCAACATTCTTCTATGAACTAATATTCCGTTCATTTGTTCACAATTATACCAAGTCAGTCTTCATATCTCTCCAGAGCATATGTGGTGATCATTTAATCCCCACCTGGAACCAGGACCCCATGTGTTCTGATTCTGGTGCAGAACTAGAACGTCAAGAGATTAATACAAAACATAATGAGGTCACAAGGATTCACTGACCTGTGCTTGACTACGGTTTCTTGGCTGGGTCGGCCTTGACTCTCAGGCCTGCTTTATTAGTGGTTTAGTGTCACTCACAATAATTGAAATTTAACAAAACGAAGCTGTAGTAGTTGCAACTTACAACTTTGTAGGTAATTACAAATGTGCAACTACTAGCTTGTGTTTATATATCAACTGGGACATTTTTTTGCAAAAAGTTCTGTTCTGATTACCAAGTTCTTCAGAATAGGCTTTAGTTAGAATTTCACATATTTTTTCTTTATTTTTTTTTTGTCTCAGTTTAGGAGTGGCTATTCATTCTTTCTAGAGAGAAATGCCCAAGTTTTTTTCTGTATATCAAGATATAATCAAGATATATTGGAAGTTAGGACTGACCTTGGCAAATCTGCAGAGGCGTGTTAACTTCACATTCTGGAGGAGGAGCTGTGCCGAGGACTCGAACATGAAAATATGTATGCTTGGACATAGAAATAGGGCAAACGGAGCCTGGCCTGAACTAAACAAAACAAAACAGCTACCCACTAGAACAACTACACTGCTTTTTTAGTAGAAAATCTTTATTTCTTGAATAATAAAACTATTTTAGGCTACATTTACACACACAGTAGGAAGTAAAAGACTGTTCTGTTTTTATTAACTGATAGTCAGAAACATGTTTTCATGACAAAGCTTCTGACCTATAGCAATATGACTGGTTAACTTTTTTCTTGTAGATTAGCATCCTCTCAAAAACGAGATGATAGAAGTGGTGAATAAATGTTAGAAACTTTTTTCAGTTAGATCATTACCAGCAATCACAGGCCAGTTTTCAAGTGTCATAGAGACCAAGAATGCAGGCTGATGTAAAGACATCACAGGTCAATGAGAGATTTGCTGTGTTGTATTGCTTATTTATTTGACATCTGGAAAAAGATCATGCTCCATTAATTTATCCATCCATGCAAACATGCAAACTCTGCACAAGAAGGCCAGGAGGCAGACCTGCAACCGTCTTGCTGTGAGGCAGCTTTAACCACTGCCATGCCGTGCCATCCTATGTGAAACAGCTTAATTTCTCAGATAGCAAGTCTTCAAATAACTCCTGTCTTAACAAGAGAAACAAGCTTTGTTTCAATACTTACAAGTACATATTGAAACATATTGCAGGTAATTTAGTATCTATAACAAAACAAATTAAATTACTCGTTACTTGTTTGCAAATAGATTTTACCAAAGATTGCATCAAGCTGGCATAACTGCATTACTACAGGCTGAAAAATGGATTCCTGTAATTATAGCATTCTTCTTATTATGAAATTGTAACTTCATTCTTAAATCTGGAGACCTAAAGTACAAAAAAAAAAAAAACGTATTTGCATTTTTTTTTTTATCAGTGACCTAAATGTGCCCTTGTGGTTTCACTTGCAGGGTATTGTAGTGCCACTCTTATTTAAATAAAAGCTTTTGTCAAAGTTTCTGAGAATGTGTCAACTGGAGTCTATTTATAGTTAACAGGACTGGAGTTATCAATGGAATGTTTAATAAATTACAAAATCTGCTTACTTTATTAGATAAAGCCTAAAAACTGCTCTTTTGTTTAGTGCTGTAGGCCTAGATAATTATTAGAAGCAACACTCCATAAAACTTAGGGTTTGCATGATGCTGGTGAAACTTTAAAATAAGGTTTCTAGTTCAAATGGCAGCACTGGAGCTTGTTTCTTCTCCTCTTGCCTACGTCATTCAATGCACTTTGGCTGCATTCCACAGCTCAAAAACTGGCAGGTTAATTGTACTTAATTACTTACTCTTAATTAACTGCAGGAGCAAATATTTAATATGGTTGTTGATCTTGTGTGTTTCCATGTCCGCCCTATGATTGACTGATGACCTGTTTGTGCAGGGCTGAGCTAGCTGCTTGGCTGGTTGGATGGATGGATGGATGGATGGATGGATGGATGGATGGATGGATGGACGGTTTGCAGGGGTCACTGGTGCCTATATCCAGCAGTCGTTGTGCAAGAGGTGGGGCACACCCTGGACAGGTCACAAGTCCATCACAGGGACAAATGAGATGACGAGTCATTCTCACTCACACCTGGGGGCAATTTACAACTCACAAGCAACATATGGCCAAAGGGCCAAAAGTGTCTCTTGGAAATCTCCATCTGGCCCCAAAATCCTTAATTTAAAAGGAAAACAACTTTAAGATACGTTGATGAAAACCAAAATTTTAACAACGATATTTAAGGATTTCTAAATAAAACCAAAACAAATACTTGTAAAACTTACAAATTAAGATAGGCCAAAAGTGGATTTTTTTTTGTTTGTTTGTTTGTTTTGGGGTTGCCTGGTGTCATTGTTTGTGTTTCCGGAATTAGACTGAAACTTAAAGACTCAAAATAGCAAACATAGAACAGTTTTAGCATAGTTTAAGCTAAGAGTATGTTGTCACAAGTAGGGGTTGGATCGACTAGACGACTCGTGAATTCTAGGGCATCTCACAAGTTTTTTCATTTCACGTCGAGTCAGTGATTGTGTCACATGTCACGTGATCAGTGCCGAGCCACTGGCTACAAAACGGATTTTTCCAAGCAGATGGAAGGCGAGGAGCAGGCCAAGTCTTGCCAAACAGGTAGAAATTCATCAACAGTGTGGAAGTATTTCACTAAAGATGACTCTTCTGGTTCAACCGCCCGTGGTGGATCCACCACCTGTTTTTATTTTAATTTAATTTTAATTAAATTAAATAAAAACAGGGGGGCGCACCACCACCAGTGGAGAATCCACCACTGCCACCACCGCCGCAGTGGTTTATTTTATTTAGTGGATTAAACACAATAAAACTAACTTTTGCTGCTTAATAACAGGTTTGGTTTTCCTGTATATATGATAAATGGTAGGAGCATAAATATACGCTCCCAATTTTTTGTTGTTCTTTTTTTGGTAAATAATAAATTACTTTTTTTGTGAATAGCGTCTTGAGTTCTTATGACATCACACCGACTACTTGATATCGACTCGACTTTTGTCATGTTGAAGTTGACTTTTAAAAATATTTAGTCGTTCAACCCCTATAGTCGCAAGAGACATTTAGAAAAAGTATGCCTTAAATTCCTAGAGGATGTTGTGGAGACATAATTTTACTATGCATGCTAACTATTCTATAACTATTAAAAGCTTGGAAATGTCTTCCTGATTCTCTGCCTTTAAGAAAATGTATTTTCCAATTCAGTCTATCACCCTTTGATTGCTATAAATAACTCGTTTGGCCCACTGAAAACAAAATGTTGCCCACCCCAGCTGAAGAGCAAAGGAAATAGGCTGTTTTACATATGTCCACAAGAAGGTGCCAGCAAAGCTTTTTGGAAAATGTTTTTACTTCACATTATGATGATAATTATTGTATATTAATGTTCTTTCTTAGAATAGTGCCTGTTTGACACCAGGAGTGGATGTTCTGTATTCTCTGTCGTGCTGTGGTTTTCTTTGTATGCTGTCCTATTTTCAGTCTGAATGTGGCCTTATGCCGCTTGTTCATCTAAGTTGGAAATATTAGTATCAGTGATAAAAACTTTTTTTACTAAACGGATGATATTTTGTTGGCAATCCACAGTTAAACCCTCACATGACCAGATCCAGCTCGCTTATCTGATGGCATGGGAGCTGTAAACAAGGGACTCTTTCCCATCTAAAGGATTTATCCAGTATGATGTGAACGCAGTGTTGGGTTATTACTTAACTAATTTCTGACCTTTAGTGTCCCTGATGAGGTGCAACTTTCAGGTTTATTCAGCAAGAACAAACATCTGAAATATAACACCAAATATATTTAATGCATGCTTGTGACCAGTATATTTTTCACAGTTGACGAGACCCATAGGCGCAAAAAAACAAGATTTCAAAAGTGTAAACCAAAATAATTTAAGAACAGTTTCCACAGCCAGTCTTCTTACAATTGTATTTTATTTTCATTCATTCAACCTTTATTTACACGATATTTAAAGAATTTACGAATAAAATCCAAGCCGAGGCATTAAACTGAAACCTAAACAATCATTATAGGCTTTAAAAATGTCTGTTATTGTTGTGTTTTGGTCTTTTTTATTTTATTTATTTATTTCTTGTCCTCCCATCCCCCTCTGTTTTTTCTCTTTGTCTGCTTGATGTGCTTCATCCTCTCCTGGGTGACTTGACTCCACCCAGCGACAGCTGCGGCTCTGTGATTGGTTATTACCAAAGTAGGGGCGGGGTTTCTCTTGCCGCTCTGCTGTTTTTCCTGCGCGAGGAGCTTTTCTGTCGTCAGTTTTGCTAACAGCCCATCGACGATAAGGACGTAGCTCTATGTTGATTAAAACGCTTCGGCAGCTATAACAGTTGATTAATAACCACTAATTCAAACATAAAATACACGATGAGCATATACCACAGCAGAGGAGCTTTGTAATTTGTCCTCCAAAAGCGGAATAAAGGATTTCGTGGCTGGTTTCGCTTCTCCCGTTCGAGCCTCTTTGTTTTTCGCCGCTTCGGTCGAACAGGTGAGCAGCAGCGCCCCCCTGTGAGACGACCGGGACCAGCTTCGAGGATAGGGAGCCAAGGAAGTAGCCGAGCGGATAGCCTCCATTGCGACGTGGGTCCCCACAGCTCAGCCGTCCGATGCGGGGTGAGGATGAGTCCCGCTCTAGAAGCTCTGATGCAGGTGGACGGGACTCCTTACTCAGGGAAAGGGGTGATGCTTGAGCCCTTCGTGCACCAGGTGGGGGGCCACTCCTGCGTGCTGCGATTCGGAGAACAAACTATATGCAAACCCCTCATCCCACGAGAGCACCAGTTCTACAAGAACCTGCCTCCAGATATGAGGAAATTCACCCCTCAGTATAAAGGTATGCAGCCATGCTAATGCAGGGGAGCTAACATGCTAGCTGTAGCAAAATGTGTATATCTAATTGGTTTGGAGGGAACATTGTGTCCGTAAGACACGTTTAAAGATGGTTACATTTCTTGTTTTAAGTGGCCTCATAATACGCATCAGTCATTTTAAGATGCTGGCAGGCACAAGTCGTCTTTAGGGGGGTGAGTGGGGGAGTTAAATACCTGGAAGGCGAGCCTGGAGGATGCGTAGAGCTGTCTGAAGCTTTTAAAAGCAGCTACTACGGTTTCAGAGGGGGAGAGTTAACTCACAAGACATTTGAGAAGATTTTCAGGTCTGATTCCAGCTCATTTCCACAAACGCACGTTTTTGACTACGCACACGGGCTTTTTAACTGGAGTGTAGTGTTTCCTGGTTGAGTGCAGGCCACAAGGCTCACATTCTGGCCCACTGACAATAACACCAAGTGCATGCGAATACAGACGGTCTCTGGGCGGCTCTTGGCTCATGACTTGGTACCTGACTCCTGGGTTATGCAGGATGAGACTATTAAAAGACCCTGAATGAGGCGTGGGATTTGGATTGTAGACTTCTGGGTGTTAGGAGTGTTCACCAGACACTGTGAAGTCTTTGGTTATGCAAAAACGCTGCCAAAATGTATTTTTAAGAAACGTAAAACATTAACAAATCTTGACTTTACCTGCCCTGCCTGGGATGACTTCAAGGTTCAGATGTGAAAGTTGGATTGGACATTCTTTGGGGTTCAGAATAATCATCTTTGGATAGGTTCATATTATCTAAATAATAATCTACAACTGTAGGTCTTTTCAGTAAAAGCAGTTGATGCCATTTGGTTGTAAAACAAATCTTTATTGCGATATCTTATCACAGTTTCTTTAGCCTTCCCACTGAGTTAGGTAAGAGAGTGACGCATACGTTTCCCACACTCCGTCTCATGGTATGATGACAGTGCAGCTGTGAGTGGACAGGACAGACAGGCCCACAGGACAAGTTTCATATAGGTGGGGCTTCCAGCAGGAAGAAGGTGATGGTGTCAGAGCACGACATCAGCTCGGCCTCAACGGAAGAAATGAAATACTTGATCTTCGTGTAAAACAAAATAAAGCTGGTCTTTTTATTCTTCCCTTTATAGTCAGACCTGTTATAAAGTTCCCAGTAATGTTGATCTGCGGTCTCTTGTAATATCAGAACCCTATCGGGATCTTATTTATTTTATATTTTGGGGGACCACACATCTATATATTTATATATGCACATTTATATAATTTCCCTCTGGGATTAATAAAGTATTTTTGAATTGAATCTCCTTCCTCTTTCTGCTTTATATGAAAGCCACTGCAGCTGCCATGTTTATTCTCAGTGCAACACCTCCCCCCACTCTGCACAAGGACCTGCAGTGCACAAATCCTTGTAGAGAGTTTCATTAGGGGATGGAGGAGATATACATGACACAAATAAACATTGCAGCACTGTAGCTAAATGTTTTGATTATCCAAATGATTTCAGAAATTCTTTGACAATATCTGTTGTGTGGTTCGCCTGTGAGGAAATGCATTCTATTCAAATAATCTAAGAATCCAAAGCATGAAATACATCAACTAAATGGTTTGTTACCGAATATATCTATTTTAGCCATTTTATGTATGTATTTGTACAATGCAAAGCCTTTGTTGTGGATGGTTTAATACTGCATTTCAAGTGTTAGTGTAATTTATTATATAAATGTTTGATTTATACATAAAAATGTCCCACTCAGTTAAACACAAATCAGGGTTTAGTATAGTTAGTCTTGTTTACTTATCATTATTCAATATTTTTTATGAATATTATTAAGTCTTCAGTTTTGATATGATGATGTGTTCAGTTTGTATAGCATAGACGTACAAGCATGCTGTTTGTATGAACGTGTCAGTAACATGTAACATTTTGTTTGACAGGTTGATATTTATTTAGTAATATTTAACTAATATCATTTTGGCCTCCTCTCTTAGGAGTCGTGTCCGTCAGTTTTGAAGAAGATGAAGAAGGGAACTTGTGCCTCATCGCCTACCCCCTTCACAGTGATTCTGTGGACTTGGAAAACAAAGACCCCTCGGCAGACTGCGAACCCAAAAGCAAGATGCTGAAGTGGAGCAACAAGAAGCAGTCCTCTTTGCTTCTTGAGAATGACAAATATAGCAAAGACCGAGCTCGCAACAGCCGAAAGGAAGACAAGCTTGTGAGGTAAGTATGCTTGCTTGAGCACTTTTGTGCTTTCATAGAAAAAAAAAGAGACTTACTTTCTTTGAAGCTCTTTAATTACAGATTTTTTTGTTTTCACATTGTCACCTTTGCAGTTATAATCGTGATGAGGTGCAGCAGCAGGCTGAGGTTCTGTACTTCAGCTTGGAGAAAGGCAACGTGGTGCCACAGATCAAACACAACCCCTGGAGTCTGAAATGTCATCAGCAGCACTTGCAGAGGATGAAGGAGAATGCAAAGCATCGTAACCAATACAGTATCCTTTCAACGAATGTCACGTATGCAGTGATGAGCTCTGCGTATCTTAAGTATCAGCTGTAGGGTAAATGTTGTGCATATGTCTCTGTCTTTTGTGGTACGATCCTTGACTCCTCCCCCCTCACAGAATTTATTCTTTTGGAAAACCTGACGTGGTGCTACAGAGTGCCGTGTGTGTTAGACTTAAAGATGGGAACTCGTCAGCATGGTGATGATGCTTCAGAGGAGAAGAAAGCCAACCAGATTCGCAAGTGTCAGCAGAGCACATCGGCTTCTATTGGAGTGCGACTTTGTGGCATGCAGGTAAATACGGTTTCTGTTTTATGCACACGTTTAACCTTCAAGTACAGCCACAATCTTATTGGTTTGTGCTCATGCATGTTCCCTTCAGGTGTACCAGCCAGACTCTGGACAGCTCATGTTTATGAACAAGTACCATGGGCGTAAGCTAACCCTTGCAGGCTTCAAGGAGGCTCTTTACCAGTTCTTTCACGACGGCCGTCGCCTGCGTCACGAGTTGCTGTCTCCGGTGCTGCGCAGGCTCCGGGAGATGCAAGCTGCCCTGGAGGCCTGCGAGTCTTACCGCTTCTATTCCAGCTCACTGCTCATCCTCTACGATGGCGACCCTCCCAGGACTCCCACCAGGCCTAGGCATAAAGGTGGAGAAGAAGGTGATGAAGATGAGCCTTCTGATGAAGAGGAGGAGGACGAAGGAGCCTTTGGTTTCTCTCATTCTTCTACAAGTGCCACCGCCGGTGTGGCCGTAGGGAGCAGTAAAAGCGGCAACGGTCGTCCGTCCCACGGCACCGGAGAGGCCAGCAGCCCTGAGGTGGACGTGCGCATGATTGACTTTGCTCACACCACCTGTCGGCACTACGGGGAAGACAGCGTGGTGCACGAAGGCCAGGACAGCGGCTTCATCTTCGGCCTCCAGAACTTGATCACTATCATCTCGGAGCTGGAGGATCGTGGCACTGACTGAGGCTGCGCTGGAGCCAGTTTGGTCTAAATTTCACGCGTGGGCGTAGCTCAGTGAGTTCAAACCCTGCCATAACCCCCCTGGTGTTATATACCTACATGGGGGTCTGCTTGGTGGAAACCCCAGACACCTCCTTGTTAGGGGATGGGGGGAGTCTGCGTGGTCGATCCTGCACTCTCGCTTACCTGCCGAAGGATAGGGCTGCCGGTGCCCTCCCTTGCACTTTTCTCTTTTTGAGACTTTGTTTTTGTTTTACTTGGAAGGAGCAGTGTTGCATGAGACAAATGTCTTCAACCGAGCACAGGGCCTCCTGTAACGTAGGACTCTCCTCCTTTGGTAAAAGCATCTGTATTAAGTTCTCTCTGAGAGAGAAAGTGAGACTGAAAAATGTTAAGCTGTACTTTGTTAGGAGACTTTTGTGGTGCTTTACCTGCGATAAGACATTTTTTTAACGAACTTGAGATTTTCTGTCCCCATCAGCACGGAGCAGTTTTTGGGGAAGTTTGACTAGTTACCTGAACAAGCTGACCGTGGCTGGCTGGGTCAGCAGCCTCGTAGCAAGTGACAAATTAGTCGTCTGAAAATAACGGGGTTTTTTTGTATTGACCCTCGTTTGTGTGTCCACCAGGCACTTGGATTTATACTTTTTGGTGGAATATTATTTAGGTCTAGAAGAAGGGATTTGACGTTTTTCCATCTTATTTTTTTCCTCTTGGCCTTTTTTTTACCTAAAACAAATTTTGGAAAGGAGAATGCTTTTTGGGGATTTATTATTTTTATTGTCTCATCTGAGCTTCATCATTCCTGACTTTTTAAAAAGGATACGTGACGAAAACACTAGCTACAAAGACTATTTATTAAAACGAATTGTGTTTTAAAATGGAAAGGAGCACATTCCATATTACCACTTTTATGTTTTGTCCTTCTGATGCTATTCTTTTTTTTTGGGTTTACTTTTATTTTTGCGTACATGTGTCTTGGAAAATAAAGGCAATTGTTGTGGTAAAAAGAACTTCCTGTGTTGTGTTCATTTACAATCAAATGCGTTGTTACCCGTAAGGAAATATAAAAAAAGAGGAAATTTAAATGGAACGTGAGCAGGTATTTGTATCATGATGGAGCTTTAAGGCCACGCTAAGAAAAAAAATAAAAAGTACATTGCCACGCTTAAAATAAAAGTCGTAAAATTACGAGTATAAAGTCGTATTATGAGAATAAAGTTGAATAAAGTCTTAATATTACAAGAATAAAGTCGTACGAATCCTTTTGCAGCTCGTTTTTTTTTTTTTTTTTTTTTCCAGGAGTCAGATCCATGATGCGACCTGTCAATCAATCCAGTAGTGTGTCAGCAAATGACCAATCTGAAGCTAAATGAGTCGTAATATCCGAACTCCGACACAAAGCAGGGTTACTGCATTTTAACTGGTAAAATGAATGTTGAGCATTTTGTTAAATTATACTGTGGTATTGGTTTTACAAATAAGAAGATCGTTAATCTGTGAGCACATCAGCATCAGATTATTACCAGTATCAGGACTTTGAACCTGCTTACAGTAAAGTGGTAGCTCTGATGGGCTGCAGCACAGCTCTGCAGGTAAGGAGCATTTAGCTTCGGATTGGTCATTTGCTGACACGCCCACTGGATTGATTGACTAGTAGCTTCATGGATCCAACTCGTGGAAAAATAAACGAGAGCCGTTAAAACAAAAAAAACGTCTCGTACGACTTTGTTCTTTATTCGACTTTATTCTCGTAATTTTATGGCTTTTAATTTATTTTTTCTTAGCGTGGCAATGTGATTTATTTATTTATTTTTGTCATAGCGTGGCCCTAAAGCTTCGTTGTAAGCTGTGAAGCAACCGTGAATAAATGCCATGCCAAAGCTGGAACACTTGCAGGAGAGAAAAACAAATTCAAACAAGGAAAACTAAAAGTTTGTCTGCCAAACTAAGAACAGGCTGCAGTTCTTATTTGCTTCTAATAAGATTCAAAGTGATTTAACTTCTACGATGCTTTTCAGCCAGTAATAATAGTAGTAAATAGTTTACCTGCATCTTCGTCAGCTGCACTTTGCTCTGGTGATCCTTCCATCCATTATCTTTTACCCGCTGCTTCCTTTTTGGGTCACGAGGGTCACTGGTGCCCATACCCAGCAGTCACTGCGAGAGGTGGGGGACACCCTGGACGGGTCTCCAGCCCGTCTCAGGACTCAGGTGAGTTAAGTAAAGATGTGTTGAGCAGAAAGTTTTTCAGACTAGAAAAAATAAAACTAACAGGAACGACGAACTCTTGACAGCTGATTCCATAGAGGATGGTAATATATGAAGCACTTCAATTAAGAAATAAAGTATTAAATCTATAAATGCTGAAATGAGAATGAAGATAAAATACCAAATATACTTTTTATTATTTAATTCCTGTTGTATCAGATTTTTATTATTTTTCTTAGCATTTTCCTTTTTAATTTCTATAAAACAATCACCACTGTATTTCATTCTTCTTTTATTTTTATTTTTTTACAAAGTAATATATTGAGGTTAAATCATTGCACTTTGTTTATTTACTGGTTTGACATTTCCTACTTGCATTTTTCCTTGCTGTTTATTTCCCCAAGTGCATTTCTGTATTTCCTTGTTATGGTTGCCTGAAAGACAGCCTCTTTAATTGCACAATAAAGTAGGAATGTATACAGTACTGTAAAAAGCACATGGAGGAATGTAAAAAAAAAATAAGATTAATCATAAATGACCCACATGCATGAGCAAATGGGAAATATAAAATTCATCCGTCCATTGTCTTTTACTTGCTTCTTTCTGTTCAGGTCACGGGGGTCAGTAGTGCCCATGTCCAGCAGTCACTGTGCGAGTGGCGGGGGACAACCTGGACAGGTCTCCAGTTCATCACAGGGACACATAAAGACACACACAGAGACAAACAACCATTCACTCTCTCACTCACACCTAGGGACAATATAGTTACCAATCAGTCTAACATGCATGTTTTTGGTTTGTGGGGGGAAACCGGCGTCCCCGGAGAAAACCCACCCATGCACGGAGAGAACATGTAAACTCCACCCAGAAAGGCCCTCAGCCAGGATTTGATCCAGCAACCTTCTCGCTGGGAGGCAGCAGCTCTACCAACTGTAAATAAACAGTGACAATATGACAAAAAAAATATATATATATTTTTTACATAATCTATTGGCACAAAGTGCTGTGTATCTACTAAGCCTTTTAAAGTTTCTGTTTATGTTTTTTTTCATGAATTTGGCAATTTCTGTTTTTGTTTTGCAGCACAAAAATGATGCAAATAGATGCATGTGTGAACTGTGTTGGAAAGAATCTGATGCCTTATATAATTCATGCATGAGGCTGTAACATGTAAAGAAATGTTGATAAAAACAATGATCTGAAAATTCAAGCCAAACAAACCTCTGGAGCCTGGTCCATAAAACAGCAAAAATGTGTGTAAAAAGAAAAAAAAATCAAAGTACAGTAATAAGCTTTAGAGTTTTTCTTTTGTTTTTGCAAAGCACAGAAGTGCAAGGACCATAAACCTTGCTGTGTGCGTCATTGTGGTTACAGTTCATTAATAATCAGTTTAGTTGAGGCTTTTGGCCCAGTTCCTATTCAGCTGTGACACCGGTGACTGGTCTGGGTTGAATCAGAAAACAGCTGAGATTATGAACTTTGCATGTTAACAAACCTTCCTTCATAGTTCCATAGTAAAAATACAAAAGCAGGAAGTATTAGAAGGTGCAACTGAAACAACAAAAACTTGTTAAGCACCTTTTAAAGAGCACAAACTGAAAAACAATCAGTTTAATCAGCTTTGCATTGCTGGTAAACCCCTCAGACCTAACATGAGTCAGTCCGCTGAAGCTCATGGAAAGTACGGCCAGAATTTTCCACCTCCTTTCAGCAGCTTGGAGCACCTGTGAACTGTACAAAGGGTGGGGTGATTTACCACCCATGAGTAAACCTCTAAAGGCCTCAGAATGTGTCAGATTAAGTTAACATTCAGTCTTTTAGTCCTGGGGAATGCGATGTGCAGATTGAGTGCATAACATATAGAAGTGGAGAATACGTTTATTTTTTTTAGGAAACAATGGATGGTTAATGTGCTTTTAAATATTTTCTGTAACTGTTCAGGTGGCATTATGGTTACTAGCTCACATTAGCTTAAACAAAGCATTGTGAAGATCATCCGTCCATCCATGCATGTTGTGAGTGTGCAAAATTGAAAAATAAATGTGGTAGAGGCTTTCATTTTCATGTATGGGTTCATGTAAGCTTAAGAAAGTTTCCTTTCAAAAATGGCATTGTCAGGTCCAAATCCAAGACGGCCATCTCCATATTCATATGTAAATTTTGTGAGTTGGATAACTTGAAAACTAAGCAATGGGCCAACTTTCTATTTAATGTGGCTGCATGTAAGAGTAAGAAAGTTTCCTATTGAAAACTGGGTTGCCACATCCAAGATGGCTGCCACCATATATATATATATATATATATATATATATATATATATATATATAT